TGAGAAATTTCGTCTTTTGCTTGACAAGTTATCCTCCTCCCACTCGTTCTCACAATATGATCCCGGACAAGATTTTCTTTCGTGTGGGGGAGAAACGTTGCAGCCCTATACACGAAAAAAGAAAAACACCCGAAAAGATGTTCTGCAAACAGAAATTCATCGATTAAAACAAGTAAAACTGTTCGAAGAGAGCTCACTCCAGTGGCGTAGCGTAGTAAAAGCGGCAGGGGCGGCCCGCCCTGGGCGGCACTTTTTAGGGGACGGCAAAATTTCACAATAAATAATAATATCTTGTAAAAATCTGGACCACTCTAATCTATATTTGCATCGCGCCTACGATAGTGCTATCGTACGAACAATTTGGGAATCGACTCACCGTCCGGGAGAACTCGAATTTCATCCGAGGATATCCTGCACAACCTGTTGGCCTTGTTTTTTTCTGCTTGTACGATTCATTCGTATTCATGTACATTTCAAACATCCAATAGAGCTATTTTAAACAGGTCGCTGCACTATCACGGAATTTTTCATTGCTTCTTCTGTGACAAAACTGAATTTTACTCTTTTAAATTGAGATACCTAAATACGGGGGACGTAATTTTTCTCCGCCCCGGGCAGCTGACACCCACGGTACGCTACTGGTTCACACTTTTGTCTCCAGTTCAATGCTATTTACATTTCGTCAGAACGAAAAACAAAAGAAAATGTCTTCTCTTTTCTATTATAATGTATAAATATATCAAGATAATATCTATCAGGATAAGATTAAATTAAAATTCCTAGATGATACATTACCATTCACAGACGTTAATTACGCCCTTGCGCCAGGGCCGGATTAACCCACTTTGGGGCCCTAGACATTTTCTTCTTACGGGCCCCCCTTTCTCACACTAGAAATAGAGCAAAAAATATAAAACGATAAATAAAACAAAACTAAATAATGTGAAAAACTAAAACAAAACTTAAATTTTTATTAATAAAAAATATTTAATACACAACAATAAATTTTAGTTTTTCTAGAAAAGTTTGAACAGTTTGTTTATAAATTTAAAATATTGAAATTTGTTTTATTAAATGTCTAACAAAAGTTGTAAAATAACAATATTACCTTAAAAAATAATTGTCAACAATACTATGTCTTGTTTATAAAATCGTACTGCTTGCTGTGTTACCAGCTTAGAGGTATGAAGGAGTACATGTCAGGAGTTGCAATTTGGCACAGAGTATTAAGTGCCCAAATCATGCGCGCATAAAAAAAC